TTTTCTTTCGTTCCCCCTTTTCAGTGTCTCCAGATGTGGAATCACTGACAAGGGTTGCATCTACCTGGCGAAGGTGCTGTGCACAGTGTCGCAGCTCTACCAGGGCTGGGTGCGAAAGAGGAACTGGCAGGCGGTCGAGCTGAAAGAACTGGACATCAGCATGAACCGCCTCGGAGACAGAGGAGTCAAAGAAGTGTCGCCCGGCCTGGAGAACCCTTACAGCCATCTGACGACTCTCAAGTGAGCGATTCTTTCAAACAGACCTCTCCGCTTCAGTTTGGTCGGAAGAACGGTGTGCTCATTTCTCTTTTCAGCCTGAGTCGTTGCGGCCTGACCGACGACTGCTGTGCAGAGCTCGCATCGGGGCTCGCGTCGATGGAGAGCGTCGTCAGCGACCTGGACCTGTCCGGCAACGACCTTCAGGACAAGGGAATGAAGAAGCTCTGCGCGGGACTGAAGAACCCTCAGTGCAAAGTGGAGAAACTGTCGTAAGTGAAGTTTGGGAATTTGGAAGGAATTACGCTGCCACATTTTGAACATAACTCAATAATTAATATGCTAATTAAGTATGAATTGCTTCATCCTTTCATTGAAGCAGAGGCTTATTATGCAGACGTGGTTCACCTGTTAGAAACGTGTCCAGCGAACACGTCGCTCGCTAAGCAGCATCTTGTTTGTGAGTCAGACCACTGTGACTTGTTTAAACACAGTTTTGGCCGCAACTCAAGAATTATGTGCTAATTATGACATTTCACACACACAAAAAACTTCTAATAGAATAAAATGATGAAGGGATGACATTTTATTTGCAAAAAGTCAGTGATCAGATGTGGACAGACATATACGAGCTGCCTGGTTTGGCAGAAACATACAACACAGAGGCGATAATTAAGCTCACTTATTACTATTCCTCGGGCTTATTCTTAGAGATTCTTCTGACATGATTTACCGAACTCAACTTTGAGAAAAAATATATTAGATAGAACTTTATTGATCCCTTTGGTAGGGTACCTCAGGGAAGTTGTTGAAATATACCAAAAAGCGCGACTTCATCGGGCATATTGTGCTACGACTTCTGGCAGCGATTTGTTGCACAGTTTGGACGATATTCGTAAAATCCGTCTTTGGAACCCTGTAGCTCGAACATGTTTTACAGTAGAAGTTAAAGTTAAAGCGGGTCACAAGGCTTTGATATCTTTTAAGGTTATCGCGCAGTTTACGTTTTATGAACTCTTCCTTCCGTTAAAGTGTTACCCGCTATCAAAATAAAAGCTCTAAAACAGGGGTGTCAATCTCAAAAACACAGTGGGCCAAAATTTAAAACCTGAACAAAGTCGCGGGCCAACATTGAACAAATGAACCTTTTAGTATGGACCGAAACAAATTTTGCTTTAACATTGAATATGGAACAAGCACCGCTTATTACCAAACATTATATATAACTTAATAGTGGAGACATGCAAAATCAAATTATAAATAAAAAAACACATCAGTGGCACAGTGACAGTGTGAAGTCGCTATGCCTACTGTCACAGAGGAGAGGGAGTTTATGGGTCTTGTCCTGATTGACGCGCCAAAACAACAACAGGGCATTATGGGATTTGTAGTATTAGCGGTGAATGCGCTGTACAGTATAATACCGGGGGCAGCTCTAGTAGTCATTTGGTATTGTCTCGCGGGCCAAATATAATTACAAAGCAGGCCAAATTTGGCCCGCGGGCCAGAGTTTGACACCCCTGCTCTAAAACGTTACAAAAGGCTTGCTGGTGACTCTGTAATATACTTACTTTTCAAAATAAATTGTGCTTTTGTAAATTACTCCTCATGTGTAGTTATAGCAGTTCTATCAGTCGATCCCTAACCTGGATCCGCATTCAAATTTCATGGCTTTTTCCTTTTCCCGTGCTCCACCTCTTCACCAAGTTTTACGATATTGCAGCTCAGTGGTTTACGCACCATCTTGCTCACAAACAGCACCGAAGTTGTAGCTCTGCTTCAGCTCTCCTCTTGGTAAACAGACGCTGCACCGACAGCAGTTCAGCGAGGATAGGTTCTGGATAAAATGAGCTCTGAGGTGCTTGTTTTTGTGCTTTCTGTCCAGGCTGAGGAGCTGTGGACTGACTTCTAAGAGCGTCCAGTTCCTCACCTCCGCCCTGAAGTCCAACCCGTCCCACCTGGAGGAGCTGCATCTGATGGGCAACAAGCTGGAAGACACGGACATCAGCGTGCTGATGGACCTAAAGACGTGCCAGAAATACTCTCTGTGCGTTTTGGAGTGAGTACTGAATACGTTATTCTTCAGAAATCCCCGTGCGTTCTGTCCCACCGTCGTGAAGCAGTAAAATGAGAATATAAGACGTTTTCTTTTCTCACTGTCTGGCATGAAATCAGGCTAAACTTTTCCTGTTTTAGGTCAGTTAGGGTTGTCAAAATTTTTTCTATTTGCTAAACGCCAAAATAATGAGAGAGAGAATTTTATAGAGAATTTTTTTTATGACGTTCTTCAAAATCAGAAGTTTACATACATTTCCTTAGTATTTGATAGCGTTGCCTTTAAACAGCATGACTTGGGTCAGATGTTTTTCCCATTCCTCCTGACAGACACTGTGGTGGAAATCTGTCAACAAACGCACAACTCAGCAAATGTGTTTCTGCTTCTGCTTTACAGACCTCCTAGTTACAAGTCTAGAGGAGTATCGTCCCACAGCTCCTCTGCAGAGTTTGACACAAGCTTGTTGTTTCCCAACTACACAAACGGCTTCACTTTTCTTTTACCTGCAAACTAACGAGTTATGCTCGCGTGAAAAAGAGTTTTATGATGTATTTTCCAACACAGGAGACGAGGACGGACGCTTGGAGTGACGTGGGACATTAGCATATTAGCATAAGCAGCATTTCCTGGTGGTTGATGGGGGGGAAAGTCCTATTTACTGATGAGACGTTGTGGTGAATGAAAGTAAAACATGCAAATCCGACTCTGAGATGTGCTTCACACTCCGGTTTGCATTTTTGTGGAGAAGATCCTGCAGCAGAATAACGAACGCAGCCTCTCAGCTTCCACTCAGACACTCGGCTTTGGAAAAACCTGCCCAGGATCTTCTTTAAATCGCTTCTTAAAACTTGTTTTTGTAGGCCTGCTTTTATGTGATGTCTATTTAATTTGAATGTAATTGACTTTTACAATTTGTCCTTTATTTATTTACATATTTCTTTGAATATTTACTCATATTATTTAGATTTTTTAACCTCGTTTTTAGGGTTTATTTTCTAGGATTCCACTTGGATGTGGTGTTTATGGTTCTTTTATTATTTTATCTGGTGGTGTTGTGTTGATTTATTTAGAAAATCTTTTGAGTTTCCTTCTTTTTTTAACCTTGTTTTTAAACTTTTTTAAAGGTGCTACATAGATTAAGTTATTATTAAAGCACACAGAGGCAAACAAATACCGAGAGATACTCTGACATTCATGCACAATTTTGTATTTCAGTATTTGTTAGACTTATTTACCACCATGTGCATATTTACTGTAAGTATTTACGTCCTTTTTTTTCTCCTTTCTTGTCTTTCAGCGTCTCAGTGGATTGAAGAACGCCGACAAAAGGACTCGAACTGGCTCGCAGTTCTCAAACTTCACCATCGACGGAACAACTAAAAGCTCATCGAAGCGTTTAAAAGTTACACATTTAGAAGTTTTGTCCTTGAAAATGAATCCTAATCTACCTATAAGATGGCCTAAACGTAGCTCTACACTGGAGCGTCCTCTGCGGTGTCTCGACGCTCGCCGCAGCTCGAGCACACCAGCTCGCCTGCGACTCTGCTTAAAACAACTTTATGCTGCACAAGTTGTAATATGAAGTGATTCAGCCGTACATGAGTCGAGTTCAGGGGTTCAACCCTGTGACGTTTTGAGCTTTAATCAGTTACTTTACTGTGTTGTGGTGCATTTTTAGCACCGAGTTTTTGCCTTTTCTGCATCGGTTTGTGGTTGAAATGACATTTAAACTGAACAGAAATATAAACACAGCAGGTCATAGTTCATTTATGAAGTTTGTTTTCACTTCACATGAAATCGTCTTTTCTTTGTTCTTCATAAAATTAATTCTTTGTGTCAAAAAAGCCAAATTATATTGACCACAGGTTAATGTAGCACGGGTATTTGTTGGTGTAACACATGGCATCTGCTTCGGCTTTACAGACCTCCTAGTTAGAAGTCTAGAGGAGTATCGCCTCACAGCTCCTCTGCAGAGTTTGACACAAGCTTGTAGTTTCCCGACTACACAAACGGCTTCACTTTTCTTTTACCTGCAAACTAAAGAGTTATGCCCGCGTGAAAAAGAGTTTTATGATGTATTTTCCAACACAGGAGACGAGGACGGACGCTTGGGGTGACGTGGGACATTAGCATATTAGCATAAGCAGCATTTCCTGGTGATTGATGGGGGAAAAGTCCTGTTTACTGATGAGACGTTGAAATAGTCTTTTTTTTTCATAAAATTAATTCTTTGTGTCAAAAAAGCCAAATTATATTGACCACAGGTTAATGTAGCACGGGTATTAGTTGGTGTAACACATGGCATCTGTGCAACTCAACAGACGGCATGAGAAAAACAAATATATTAGAAATAATTACAGCAAAACGTGAAGTTTTCACCATTTGCGTGCTGCGTTTACGTGTTTGTTCAGTCTTGAATAATTAAAAGAAAGACTAAGATACATGCCCCTTTGAGGTTTAATAATCTGGTTCAGTGTGTCTATATTTTTATTCCAGGATCAGATAATATTTATGCTAGAAAGCTTCTAGAAAGTGACTTTTCTATGCACTAACTGTGGCTAATAAACAGCTGTTTAGTGGCTATAAAGACTAAATTCATGCACCAGCTGGACAGTCAGAATATGAAGGCTTTGGGGCTTTTTGTGTTGCTTTCAGATGTTTGATATTTCTACATATCAACTACATGTTTACTCCTCTGACCTCTTCTTGTTTGGACCTATTTGAATGTGTTCAGATGCTCAAAGTATTGTCTGAAATCTGTGCCTTTACTTAAACACCTGTTATATATATTTTGGTGCCTCATTCATTTGACGTTATGGATTGTTTTGTAATGTTATTTCTGCATGTTTTCTTGATGCAGGTTCCTTTACCTCATGAGAAGCTCACTGTGAAAGTTCCCACTCAGTATTATTTGTAGTGTGTCAAACATGTGACTGTGATGCAAATAAACACTATCTGTGACCACACAATAAATGCAGCATTGCTCGTTTTTTTTCCTTTTCTTTTTTTTTTTGGTTGCACCAAGCTGTGCAGCGTTGCTTCACTTGTGTGTTGCAGCAGCAGAGCGCCACCAAGCGGCTGCACCTCGTCGCTGCAGCGCAGGACGCGTTTGACGCCAGTTGGCACAGCGGTACCTTGTGTGCAGCATCTCCGGTTTCATCGCAGAGGACCAGTGAACGCACCTCGGAGCTGAAGGTATGTTTCCCGGCGCGACACCAACATTTCATCAGCATCCTTCTCAGTAAACAGAGCTGCTGCTGCTGCTGCTGCTGCGTTCAGGGACGCGTGTCAGGGCTGTTATGTAAAATGCATCATCCACTGTGCTGATAGTTGAACGCTGCTGTGTTGCTTTGGTGTAACGAACGGTGCCAAAAAAAAAAGAAAGAGAAGTGCACCGGGGTGTGGAGGGCTGCCCGGGCCGGCTGGCGGGCTCGGTAGGCCCGTATGGCGCAGTTTGGGCGCAGAAACGCGCCTCCTGACCGCCTCGTGTGTCGCTCGTCACGCTGCCCAGGATAAACAGAGCCGTGCAGCAGTGTGAGAGCTGGATGCTGACACATGCAGGCATGTGTTATGAACGCCCTCAGCTCTGCAGTGTCATGCTCATTGCGGCATCGTCGCACATTAACGTCCTCTGATGACATTTTCTCTGCACGCCAGAAGCGTCCAGATCAGAGGATTTATGTGTGGATTTGCATCATTTTATGTCATGTGGAGTATTTTTTGTTTTCATTATCTCTTCACAGAGCAGTGGCTGTGTTGGATGTTTTTGTTTTTGCTCTTAGTTCCCTTCAGAGTCTAAACTCAGTCCCAATAACACGCAGTGTGATGCGTCAGGGAAAAAAAAAACTTCACTCAGAAGCCTCTGCGCATGCGTATGAGTGAGGCAATATTGCGGTGATCGACTGTTATCTTTTAGCTAACTAGCTTATTATCGGTAACTACGCGGAGGTGAAGCGGTAAGTTAATAGTTAGACTCAATATTATATGCTGTGGTGTGGTTTTGTATTTAGGGTTATAATTTACAGTACGTGTTTTGTTGGTAAAATGTTAATAACAGATTGTAAAGTATAAGAAGCGAGCCTTCGAATAAGCTAGCTTAGCGTTAGCTGCGCGTCTGCTAAAGTTAGCTATTAAGTACTTTAAAGTCCTACAAGCTAACTAAGTAACTTTAGCTTAATCTTTTTTTCTTTTAAAAAAATGGTAATATACTTGTAATTACTAAATTGACTCAGGTAACAAGTTTTCACTTTTCTGTGCCATCCAGCTGTTGGCGCCAAACAGCGCCGATATGGCTAACTAGGGCTAGCGGTTAGCCAAAGTTAGCACAGTTAAGTGTAGCCAAGGTTGCCAGATATGACAATATACCGCAATGAATATTATTGTAAATTTAGTAGCTGTCATGTGGAATAAATATATAACCAGAAATTGTTAGAATAGATTTTTGTCATGGTTAAAAACAAACAACAAAAGGCAGTTCAGCAGCTCTTTGGATTAGCAGCTTACAATGAAAGAGCACTAAAAATCAAATAAAGCACAATTACACTGTGTAAGAACAAGATTGCACTCCATAATGTAATATATTACTTTTTAATAGTCAGTAAATAAGGAACTGTGCATGCTGCATTTAATTTAGCTCAATGTACTTTTACAGTTCTCAGTTATAAGAATTTAAACAATGACTGTACCTAATAGCAAAGTGGAAATCTAGTTTAGTTTGAATTTCTTTTACAGAGAATTGCAAAAGTCCACTGGACAGAATTGAATGCAGCATGCAAATTTGCCTTCTTTTATGACTTGAACATGTTAAAAGTCTAATTTCTGTTGTCTTGGTGGGAAAACGGGGTTAAATGAGCGCACATGTGTTTGAGCTGGAGACAAATAGTCAACCATTGAGTTACTGAATTACTCCACACTGTAGTCTGGCGCGGCTTTAAAGGACAGTGATCAGATAGTGACCGACACACAGACACTCCTTTGACCAGTGACTATAAAAGACCACCTTAAAATGCAGCTTTATGCAAATGACATGATGCCACAGATTAGAACAGAAATACGAGAACAGTTTGCTGGCTGCAGGATGTTGGCTTTTTAGTCAGGGTTGCAGCCAGGCATCGAAGAAATCGCTTTAGACAACTCCGGATGCCTAACAAATGCGATTGTGGCCCCCAAAGTGTCGGCCAGCTTCACCAGGCCCTTCATTAACACAGTCCACAGGTTTAGCTAAAGTTAGATATTAAACAACATGTGATATCTCAAAAGCACGACTGTCACACAAGGAGGACAGTATGCATTTTTAAAATCACTGACAGTTCAAACCTTGGATCAGATGTGCTGCAAAAAGTCTGAGGTGTAGCTGATCAATGACAAGACTGGGTTTATGCAAGTTCTAATAATAATAAGAACTTTATTTATATTAAGAAGAGTGTTCACAGGAGGTGCTTTGACAGTCAAAACATGCAAACACAGAGACAATCAAGCAAGACATAAGGAGACAAGGCAGAGCCGTCAATTAAAATAATAATAAGTTCAATGAATAATTAGCCAGATTAGGGCGCATATCAATGAAAGGAACTAGGCAGTTTAAAAATGGAAGAATAAGAGTGAAGATTTAAAGTTAGTTGAAGAATTAAAGACGATATCACACAGCTAAAATGAACACAAAGCAAGAGAGAACATATGAAATAAAAAGCTTGTAGCACATAAATACAGAATAAAAGTCATCAAAGCTAAAAGTAAACTTCACATGAAAGCAAGTTCATAAAAGTTGGTTTTAAGAAGTGATTTCAAAGACATTACCGACTCCATAAGCCTGATCTCCTCAGGCAGGTTGTTCCAAAGTCGAGGGGCCTCTGATGGAGAAAGCTCGGTCGCCCTTCGAGTTAAGCCTCGACTTGTTGAACTTGATGTTAAACCACAATGTGCATTCCCCAACCCTGTTGTATACAATGATCAATGTGCAAGCTGAAGCAAAGTCCCAATCTGTTTGAGCTATATAAAACTGAATTTGAGCATTGTTCTTATTTAGCAGCCACACCTTTGTTTCTTCTAAATTGCAGCCTTTACGATTTGCTAATACCTTTTAATTCATATTTTTGGTTTGATTTGACATGAAGTAACTGTTCAGCCCTACCCTACTACTGTGTGCTCTCCTTTTGATTACCAATGTAATATTTTAAATGACTGAGGTAGAAAACGTTCAGCTCCTCTGACCAACCGCCAGTCAGATCTTAAGTAGACATTAGTGAGTTTATTCAGTAGTAATCACTGCCACGCTTAACCATCAGTCGTGTAATTCTACTGGGTTGAAGCGTGACTTTGCTCACCAACGTTTGTGCTTAAATTCACTGTGAGCGTCATGACCAGGGTTATTTTTTGCAAATTTAACCCAGTGAGGGATCAATAAAGTTCTCTTATTTTTTATCCAGCATCTCCTATAGGTGAACATCTCTGCACACCTGAGACGGGTAGAGTTCAGTGTGTAATTGTGCAATGAAGTGGTCGTTGTAGGTTTGCTTTGTTTTCGTTATAAGCTCAACCACTTCTGGGTACAAATCCTCATTTTTTGTCCCCGTAGTTATGCCGGTGCAGATTCAAACACCTTGTTTGTCTATCATGCTCGGTAACGAATTGTCTGACTGATAGGACTTATTAAGCTTCTTATTAATAAACACCTTCTCCTCTCTGATGTGCCATCATTTGGACTGTAAACAGATATTATGAAGGCTAACTACAAGTCCAGTCCTTGTGCTTTTGTTTGTTGGAAAAGTGCTGCTTCTTTATTTTGTTTACTGCACAAATCTTTCCGTGTTTTCCAGAGCGAGCTGCAATGGGGAAGGAGAAGCTCCACATAAACATTGTGGTGATAGGACATGTCGACTCCGGCAAGTCCACCACCACCGGCCACCTCATCTACAAGTGTGGGGGCATCGACAAAAGAACAATCGAGAAGTTTGAGAAGGAGGCTGCAGAGGTATGAGTCAGTTTGTTCCTGCTTTAAAATAGACCCTTTTAGCCGTTCCCTACTGTGTTACCTTGAGCGGTTCTGCTCTTTTGAACTGAACGTCTCGTCTGACAAGTATAATACAGTTTTCTTGTGTCCTAAAGCTTGTACTGGATTGGCACCATTGCTAAATCATTAGGAGAAATCACTGGATTTAAATGTCACTTTATATACAACTTATAGCCTGCAGCTGCTTTCTAGTAAGTTTAGTAGTAAAATATAATTTGTAATGAAATCTTGGGTTTGTATTTTGTCCCAGTTTCCTGTTGACATGGTGGTAAACACAGTAACATGAAAGTTTTTTCTGTCTAATACAGTCCAGTTATTATAGTGGCTTATTGTTAAGGAGTTTTAACTTCTTTTTTCATCATTTTTGAGGCTGCAGTTTACAAAATTGACAAGCGCTTCCTCAATGTGACTCGACTGTACAGTGTATGTGCCCCCCTGAGGTGTGAGATTTGGCGTAATACAAATTTAAGTAAAGAAGAAAGCACGCACACAAGTTGGAAATACGTCATGGAAAATCTGAGTTACACACATAAGTCAATGTATTACTGTGTAGATAACAAGCAATCATTCACTCACTGGCTGGTCCTGGGTTGGATCCCCTTTTGCCTTCAGAAATGCAGACATTTTTCATTGCATAGATTCAGCTCCTTAGAGGTTTTGGTCCATATTGCTGTGATAGTAGTCTAAATGTCCGTCAGCTTCAGGGCTCTACACGGTGTGCACTCAGTGTAGCTTGCGTAAAATGGGAATTTTCTTGTTTTTTATTGAGTTGCTGTTGCTTCTCTATCACTGAATGTTCTTTCTTTGTAAACCCCAGAAATGGTCAAGTTCAAATCACCTTTTCTTCTCTTACTGATGCTCGGTTTGAACTTCAGCAGATCCTCTCGCCTAAATCTTTGTCTCAGTACGATTGGCTGATTAGTTATTTGCTTTAATGAGCAGTTGTTGGTGCGTATACTTAATGTATTAATTGCGGCTTTCAAATTCATACAGCTGTGAGGTGTATGTAATACAAGTGGCAGCACTGAATCTCCAGCACTGAGATGAATGACTTGCTTGTCTTTATCGACCTTCATCCTGCAGAAGGGAATCAGGAGGATGACTCAGACAACACAGCATCATTTGTAGCTGTTACTGTGTGCAGCTTCAAGCAAAAGTTATATGATCTAACATGAACCTGACGTGACTTTACCTTTGTTTCTCCTCCACAACCACCAGATGGGAAAGGGTTCCTTCAAATACGCCTGGGTTCTGGACAAGCTGAAGGCCGAGCGCGAGCGCGGCATCACCATCGATATCTCCCTTTGGAAGTTTGAGACCAGCAAGTACTACGTGACCATCATCGATGCTCCGGGACACAGGGACTTCATCAAGAACATGATCACCGGGACCTCTCAGGTGAAGTTAGTAGACCGGTAGAGGAGTGGGAAATGGGTGAAAGGAGAGAGGAAATATACTGAATGAAAGACTTCACCGTGTCTCCCTTCAGGCCGACTGCGCCGTGCTGATCGTGGCTGCCGGCGTCGGCGAGTTCGAGGCCGGCATCTCCAAGAACGGGCAGACCCGCGAACACGCCCTGCTGGCCTACACGCTGGGAGTGAAGCAGCTCATCGTGGGCATCAACAAGATGGACTCCACCGAGCCCAACTACAGCCAGAAGCGCTACGAGGAGATCGTGAAGGAAGTCAGCACTTACATCAAGAAGATCGGCTACAACCCCGACACTGTGGCCTTCGTGCCCATTTCTGGCTGGAACGGAGACAACATGTTGGAACCCAGCCCTAATGTGAGTGAGACCAGAGCATAACATGTGCTCAGAGATCATTCTTTGCCTCTCTGTTGCTGTACGTGTTATATAGAGGAACTAAAGTATGACCCCCCCATACAGCTTTTTAGAGTTTATAAATACAGTTTGCACATATAGTTGAATGCTGATTGCACGACACTGCTAAGAGCGATGATGCTAAATAGTTTTTCATTGTCTCTGCAACAACGACAAAAACGCTGCTATTCTATCTCTATTCTAGATTCTTTGACAGTGAAACCTTTTGTGTCCTCCTTTGCTTCTGAGCTCTAAATCTAATCTAAAGCAATCACACATCCATTCCCGAGCTGCCGAGGTAAAACCGAGCCTCTCTCCCTCCACAGATGACTTGGTTCAAGGGCTGGAAGATCAACCGCAAAGATGGAAACGCTTCGGGCACCACCCTGCTGGAGGCTCTGGACGCCATCCAGCCTCCCACCCGTCCCACCGACAAGCCCCTGCGGCTGCCTCTGCAGGACGTCTACAAGATCGGAGGTGAGGCCGCTGTTGGCGCAGGTGGCGGAGAGTGTGTGTGGTGGCTGTGTGATTTGTACTTGTGAAATCTAACTGCCCTCGTTATCAAGTGTTGCTTCATACCAGAGTAGGTGTTGAAAGTATTTTTGGGAATGAGAGCACTTTGTGACAAAAACAGCAGAACTGAATGAGGTCTTGAAGGAATTCCCATCGGCTCGTTCTGTCCTAAATGCTCATGAATGATTTTTAGGCTTAACCTTCTAAACCCTGGAACTGGGTTGAACAAATGAAACAAGACAAACTGAACTTGAGGAACACTGAGAACGGTGTTTAGGTGACGCAGGAGACGTCATCTGTCCAACCTTGGAAATTGGAAATATATTCATAGATTTTTTTTGTTAATGAGTCAGGAGGAACAGGTGTCATTTGTTTTATGGAGCAACCACATCAGACACAAATAAATATTTAAAGCGGAGTCATTTTCATACCTCCAAACATACTCCTACGTCTTTCTGGTGCAATATCAGCACATTCGAAGGTGTGAATTATGAATATTTTGTACATTTAAAAACTCTATATGTACAAGAATCTGTGCAATATCGGTATTTTTCTACTACGAATCCGCAAAATTAATTCTGTTCATGAGAGAATCTGATGTATGCAACATTGTCATTTCCACATCCAGAGGAATTTGGACCATTTAAACTCATATGAAGGGATACTATTGGTTTATTATTGTTTTTCTACTAGTATTCCTAAATGTTTGCACCATCCTCCTCTGTGGGATTAGTAAAGGCTTATCGTACACCTGAAGAGATCTTTAACTTACCGTTCTAACTCATGCACCTCTTAGACCCCGTTGTAAAGCCGCTAACCTTTCTTTTTTCCAGGCATCGGCACCGTGCCCGTGGGCCGGGTAGAGACGGGGATCCTGAAGCCTGGCATGGTGGTGACTTTTGCCCCCGTCAACGTCACCACCGAGGTCAAGTCCGTGGAGATGCACCACGAGGCCCTGACCGAGGCGCTGCCCGGCGACAACGTGGGCTTCAACGTCAAGAACGTGTCCGTGAAGGACATCCGTCGCGGCAACGTGGCCGGAGACAGCAGGAACGATCCGCCACAGGAGGCGGCGGGCTTCACCTCTCAGGTCGGCTCACAGGAGTTAGCTTTCGTCAGGAGAGGGTAGTAACTAAGTACATTTACTCAAGTACTGCACACATTTGAGGTACTGCTACTTTATACTTCCACTACATTTGTCTGACAGCTTTTTTAACATAAAGATTTGACACAGTTTATAATAGAACAAGCTTTTAAAGTAGAGCACAGACTTACAGATTAAATCAGGGGTTCCCTACCTATTTGACTTCTTACAAAATTCTGTGTTTCAGATTTCAAAAAGTTGTTAACGGTTCCACCAGATAGTCATGATTCCCTCTAAACTTCTCACATGGTTTTTTGTCAGTAAATGCTCCAATAATCTCGGCAAAAATCAAACATTTCAGAAACTTTTTTAAAGCAGCTTTCCTCATTTCAGATTTGTCTGCTGTCCCTTTGTTTCAAACTGGGTATGAACTCATTCAAACCTGCAGCAGCAACAACAGAAACATGCTGCTGACACACTGACGCTTCACTGTTAACAGTCTAATGATGGCACATAATAATGATAATAGCGTGTAAGTCAGAGCGACCAAACCGGGACATGCTCTTCAATACTTTCACTACTAAGCAGGACTTTTACTTGTAATGGAGTATTTGTACATTGCTGTATTGGTGCTGGGCTGCAAGGTGGATCGGTGGTTAGCACCGTCACCTCGCAGCTAGAAAGTCGACGGTTCGCATCCTGGTGCGTAGACTCTCCATGTTCTCCCCGTGCTTCTCTCTGGCTTCTCCAGCTTCCTCCCACACAGTCCAAAAACATGCTGAGGTTAACTGGTGATTCTAAATTGTCCGTAGGTGTGAATGTGGGTGTGCTTGGTTGTCTGTCTCTAAGTGTAGCCCTGTGATAGACTGGCTACCTTTGCCCTAAATCAGCTGGGATAGACTCCAGCCCCCCATGACCCTAGTGAGGATTAAGCGGTGTATAGATAATAGATGGATGGATGTATTGCTGCTGAGTACTTCTTCCACCACTGACTTTGAAGGAGATTCTAGCCAGGTGTTAAATGTACGGTCCTGCTCTCCTGCCTTCTCTGTATCTGCCGTCTGCAGGTGATTATCCTGAACCACCCCGGTCAGATCAGTGCTGGCTACGCTCCCGTACTGGACTGCCACACTGCGCACATCGCGTGCAAATTCGCAGAGCTCAAGGAAAAGATCGACCGTCGCTCCGGTAAGAAGCTCGAGGACAATCCCAAGTCCCTGAAGTCTGGAGATGCTGCCATTGTGGACATGATCCCCGGCAAGCCCATGTGTGTGGAGAGCTTCTCTGAGTACCCGCCGCTGGGTGAGTTTGTTTAATTATTGACTTAAAAACAAAACAGTGTCATCAGTTTGTTGTCGTAATTGTGTCAAAACTGTTTGAAGGTTCTTAAATGTCAGTATTTCCTGGTTTCTTTATTCCTCTATGATGGTGAACTGATTGAGTCCCTATGAAAGTGCAGCAGATTAGTTTTAGCACCAGCACAGTTTCTATGTTTTATTATCAAACATGGACTTTTGTTTTTCCTGACCGCTCCCTCAGGGCGTTTTGCTGTCCGCGACATGCGCCAGACGGTGGCGGTGGGAGTGATTAAAGGCGTGGAGAAGAAAGCCCCGACAAGCGGTAAGATCACCAAGTCTGCACAGAAGGCGCAGAAGGCCAAATGAACGTTGTGCTGGGCTGCTGCCCCGAACGCTCACCGTGGCCGAAGACACACTAGCACCCCGCCCCTTCTGCACACCATAGTCAGCGTCTGGTCTATTATCACAATGCATCGCAAAAGCAGACGAAGGAAAAAAAATGACGCGCCGCGCAGTTAGCGACGCTAACACGCTATGTTACGTGTAGGTTTTATTGTAACTCACTTCGTGGCAGAACAACACGACAGGTTTGCGTTCTAGTTCTCTGTGTGCTGTTGAAGTTAGAATTCCAGCTGCTCGTTGATGTGGCTACCCGACGTAGTGATACGGTAGAGATGTTCCTTTGCCAGGTCTTTGTTAACGTAATGCTCTGTGTCCTAGCTTTAAAACCAGATGTGCTCTCTAGCCAGATGTAGGTTGGCTGCTTGCATGTTCGCTGTTTGCACCTTACAGCTTCAGAAACTCTTTGTCTGATGACCTTCAATCTTCATGCCTCGCACTTTGCTTGACGTAAGCTCCCTCGCAGGAGCTCTGATAAATGTTACTGTTCAGTTCATGCACCTTAACCACTGTTGTTTGTGAGCGTACGTTCATAAAAGTAAAGATGTTTAAACAGTTTCTTGGTTCCTGGTCTTATTTTCTTTAGGAAACCGTACCTGAATAAATCCAGGCTTTTTTTGCTGATGTGGGATTATCTCAGTGATGCACATATTATTGCTCCAAGCTGAACTCATGCAGCTACTTGTTGAAGCGTGTATTTATTTTAGAACCATATTTATTCATTTGAACATCAGCCACAGGGCTTAGTGCTGCTTAAAGCTCCACATGTCTTCCCTCTGTACCTGCAATGTGCTGCCTGCAGCACCCAAGGACTTCTCCAGCAGCAGCACCTGACCCTGGGCTCTCCTCTTCTGTCCGCCTCATCATAAATGTCTCGTATTCTGTGTTGTGGTTTAACTTTAAGGTGTTTCACAACGTTTGTTGTGTTGCCAAAACTCCATCTTACCTCCTAAGCTGAGCGACGCTGACGAGCTTCTAAACAGAGGACAAAAATAAAAGTTATGTTGATTTGCTCAACTAATTCTCTCAAAATATCTGACTATGATTTTGATGAATGGACATGGAGCTCACACATGATCCCACATTAGAGGTACATTTAAGAGGACATTTGTCAAACAATTGCTTAGAAAAAACAGTCTGCTTTAATTAATATGTAAACATATTTCATTGTAGAAGGAATTCAATAGAATTAGTGAATTGATCTACTTATAATAAGCACTAATCTAAAAGCTCTGACATGCTTTTCCTGAAGAACTGATTTTCACATCAGTTGTGTGCTCTGACAAGCTGAAAACATATTTCTTGGTTTGACATCATTAACTATTGAAGCTTGATTGCCCTTTGTTCCCTGTCAAAGACTATTTGCACTATTGCCCTGCTGCCCCTCTGGTGAGTTTGTGTGTCTGTGTGTGCGCGAGACAGAAATAAAGAGAGAGAGAGAAGGAGTCCTTCTGAAAACCTCGAGGCTTTCCCGTCCACAGAGCAGATTCTGGCTGGTCTCTCCCATGATGCTCTGCAGCCGGAAATCTTGGAAATCTTCCAGGCGGTGACTCAGAGACAGACAGAGGATTTCATATATAATGTGTTAAGCTGTCACTTACACACATGTACATTTATATACACAGATACAGTGTATTTCATGTTTTAGTGGAACTCTCCACCTGGTTGCTGCTTAAAAATCTAAAAAGTCAAAGTTTGGGATTTCACTTCTTTGACACTTTTCTATAAATCTGAACATGAATGCTTTTAAGTCTGTGCTGCTACAAAGTTGCAAAGTGCAGAAGAAAATCACTGGAGCACCACTTCACATAACGCCTGTGCACGTGACCTTCAACTGTGCCCGGAGAGTCAGCAAACTTACAAGTTGGGCTTCTGGCCTTCTACTATCTCCTCCTTTGGGATGGAGCAGAGACCCTCGTATGTGAGCTTCTCCCCTGAGCCGTGGATGGCGTACGAGTTCATCTTGTTGGCACTGGGAGGAAAGTACGGCCATGGAAGGAGAGCCTCGGCCATCCACCTCTCCCCTGTGACTGTGGTGTTAAACATGATGGGCAGTTGTTGCTGGGGGAAGAAAAAAAAAAAGCCCCCTGATAACTCCCTTGCTGTCAACTTACCACAAAAGCTTGGCCGACTCCTGACAGTAACAGCATCAGGTGTTGTTCGTGTCTACAGCAAAAAAACAAACAGAAGATGTGACTGCAAACATACGATCCCTGACATGGACAGAAACAGAGCTGAGCTTGGACAAAGCTCCACTTCCAGGTGATGTTTTGTTGTACTATCAAAGAAGAAAGACTCCCCGACTGATAAGATAAAGAAGAGAAAATTAAAAGGAGACCTTTAATCCTGTATTAATAAACTGCTTAGAAGGTGTTATGAACCTCATCGGCAGCAATCCTGGTAAACAGAGGACCCCAATTAAATCATTCGAGTCGTTTATTTCAAGTTGACATTATGAAAAAACAACAGATACATAAACTTTCAGCTACGATAATGGGACCAGCAGAGTGCTCGTTATCTACCTAGATCATAACGGGGTTGCTTTCTAATCAATTAAGTGACATTAATTAGGCCAAATATGTGGGACTCATTAACCGGAAATCGAATTTACTTAAGGTCAATTAGAACAGATTATTATTACTCAACCTCATTACAAGTTTAATTGCTGTGTCACCTTAATAATAATAATAATAATAATGCAGTTACTATCATGGTCTCATAAACATTGATAGTTTTATTTGTACAAAGGCCTGAAAATTGCAGGATACAGACTATATTACTCAATCACGACTGCAGCAATAATGGTGCAGTAAGAAAACAAAATCTTTTCCAGTGTAATAACATATATTCCAGAAAAACCAAAACATGAGGTCGGAACGTTCCTTCTCATGTCATGTGCAGACGGAACCATTTTAGCGGCGCACATCTGTGTTGCCATTGGCTGTTGTTTGTTTACTTCAAACGGGCGGCGGAAACGAGAATCAAAGTAAAAATCTCGTGATTTTTGCACTGTTTGTTTAGTGAACACGCGTTAAACGAGGCGCTGACACAACCTGTGAGCGTCGCTTCTCTCTGAACACCAGTTTAGATGTTGACTAACGGATCTGAGCGGTTAGCTTGGTAGCTAAGCTTAGCCGAGATTGATTAGCTGCTCCGGCTAACGCTAGCCGCACCAGGTAACCACTGACAGGTAGTCACAGCAAGCTAGCTTGTAATAAGTGTTATTGAGCGGCTTTGTAACGTCGTTAGCTCCGTTAGTGTGCCGTTGACACAACCGGAGGCATTTTGCACCCGCTTCTAGCTTTAATCGGTTTGTTTTGCGGGTTATTAGTGATTGTTTTTAAGTGACCGATGCTAATTGTTTTGCTTGTATACACATAGCATGGAGGCAGAACTTGAATTTCTGCGTGATCAAGGTAAGCACAAACAGAGGAGATACTTTGCTTTTCATACATCTTCTTCTCCCTCTTCATCTATATTTTGCATTTTTGTTCTTGTATAGTAATCCCGTTACTCTTTCAGGCCCCATATGTAGCTGTAACATTCATAAAGGTAGAAATAGGTAACCTGTAACCTAAAGTTTGGCTGCACTGTTGTGCCTTTCTAACACGTTTCCCCCCTTTAAATGTCATTTTCAGCTTACAGTAATACTTTAAATTAGGAATACTCTTGTGAAAATTAGTATGATCAATCTGTATCCTCCTGTTTCCAGTCCACAGGTTAAATTCTGCCCTCAGCCAGTATCAGTACGGCCACCGCACTCAGTCCACATCATCTCAGGTAAAAAGACTTCAGCAGAAACTCAACGCTCTCTACGATTCGTTTTGTTAAGTCAGGAAAAGGGAGTGTTTTTTTATTTGGGTTCCAGGGTAATTTAGGAAAAAATGGCATTGCAAAACTCTGTTTTTGTTCAGTTAATTATTGTGATGTTAAAAACTAAACTTTACTTGAATGACTCAATAGTAAGAGTTCATCATTTCAGAATGACTGGTGTGATTTTATGTCTGCGTTTAAAATACAAACAAGCAAACAAAAACCCTGATCATACCAGTGTGGAGCCTTTCTCATTTATGGCAATGCTGTCAAAGTAGCTTTTGATTCTGGAGACTGGTTTTGTGATCCAGAGTTTCGTGCAAATCAAACCCACAGAGGACGTGTTTGTAGTCGACACCATCCCGTCTGTAGCTGGAATCATTCCATGAAGCTGACCCTGAGTTTCTTCATCTTCAGGGCTCCTCTCCTCTATTTTGTGTGCACACATGGAGCCCACTTGTCAACAATCTCTGTGTCTTTTAAATAAAAGAAATTAAAAAAAACAATCAACAAACTCCATGCATCTAATTATTAATTAGAATTTTTAAAAAAAGAATCAATTCAATCTGAGTAAATGATAAGAGTTGTGTCTAATAGTTTAGTCGTGGAAATTGACTGCTTGAGTTTCTTTTTTGTGTCCAGCAGCAGCAGAAGCTGGAGCATGATGTTCATTTTCCTTCACGTCACGCTTCCTGCGATGTCACTGTTGCGCATGAAACGATATATTGTGCAGCCCTATTGTGTATATTTAACGACTGTTGGGCACCTGATGACTCTTGCGTGTTATGTGTTCGATAGGTTGAGGAAGCGAGGCCGGTAGAGTCTCCTTCACCCTGGATCTCTGACAAAGGGTCAGTTTATCTCTTTGACTCATTTCTTCACACATTTAAGAGATTATCAGCAAGTCAGAGTGAAGCAGAACATGTTGATATGATGACAATTTAAAGCAAATATTTATTCCTCACAAGTGACGTCTGTATTCCTCCTTTGTAGTATCATGGCTCCTCTGATAGCAGAGTATGATCGGCACATGGATGAAATGACTGAACAGCTGCAGAGATACCAGGTGAGAAAAAAACACAGAAATAATGAAGCAAATGTTTGAAGTGTCTTGTTCTTATCGAACTAAACATGCTGTAGGTGTAAAGGGCTGTAAACATTTCAGGCCTTGAAATACGCTACATGGAGTATTAAAAAGCCTTAAAAGACAGAGCTGGGTGATGGATGTCTCTTAATCTTGTGACCTCTTGGTCTGCAGATGCATTACAATGTATTAGGATGTCTTTCAATGTGATTGTTTGAATCCACAGGGGCAGATGGCAGATGTCAAAGTGAAGCTGGAGAGGGTTGTCAAGGAAAATGAAAGGTACAAAAAAAAAAACATCCGCTGGTGTCAGAGGCTGTTGTTTGATTTCACATCTATAGCTATGTGTGCTTTTGAAGCTTTTTTTTAAAGTATTAATCAACATCCACCACCTTTTACAGGCTGCATGCAGAACTGAGGGAGTCTGTTGAGAAGCAGCTCCACTCCCTGCCCGTGGCTTCAGGAGTGGAGGGCAGCACCCTGGAGGAGGATTCAGTCATCAGAAACCTTCAGGAGCAGGTCCAGCTGTCTGAGCAGGTCTGTCCATGTGATGCGTCTAAACCTTGAATGAAAACACTTGGACACTGCTTCCTTAAACTGGTTGAGCAGAAGTTAATGTCAGAGTGCTGCTCGTTATGTTTTGATCGTGATCTTGTCACAC